TGACCCCTATTCCCGTCCCCACTCCAGCTCCCATTCCTGTCCCAAATCCTTTCCCCCGCCTGCTCCTTTGTCCCCATCCCGTCCCCTGCCTTGACCCCGTCCTTGTCCCGGCAGTGATGAAGTCCAAGGGCAAGGCCGTGGTGAAGGAGGGGCCGAAGGGGCCGGAGGTGTGCACGGACCCCGTCATGCTCACCACCTACGCCATGGGAGTCAATTACTTCAAGGAGGGCCCCGAGGTGGCCCTGAAGCCCGACTCCGAGTACCCCGACTGGTAGGTGGTGCCCGGCTCCCCTTGCTCTGTGCAGAAGGGGTGTCCTTCCTGGGTTGCCCAGAGGTGCCATCCCAGTGGCACAGAGGAACTGTTCTGGGAGGAGGAAAACTGCTCTGCAGCCCAGAGACCTCCCCTGGGGATGAGGGGATGCAGTGGGTGAGGCGTCCCCACTCGCAGGTCACACACCATCGCTCCCTCCTGTGCTCGTCCCTTCACACCCTCTCACCCTCTGCGTTTGCCCCCAGGCTCTTTGAGATCCACCTCGGGCCCCCCAAGAAGCTGGAGGAGCTGGACCCCAACTCGATCGAGTATTGGAGGCGCCTGCGGAAGTACAACACGTGGCACCGCAACAGGCTGAAGAAGGGCAAGAAGCTGTAGGGGCTGCAGAGCTCAGGGCTGCCCTGCAGCCAGCTTTGGGTCTCCTCTTGCTGTGAAGGAGTAATAAACCTGTGGCGAGGCTGGTGCCTCGTACAGAGGCTGTGGCAAACCCAGGCCCTCGGCAAGCTCGGTGTGGGTCCCTCTTCATGTCAGGGGATTAGTGAGGGGCTGAGGCAACACAGGCCACAATTCTTGGTGTCTGCTACAACAAGCTCAATTTTTTATTCATAGATGGAGCCTGTGCCTTGAAACGTGTCCTGCTCTGTCACAGTGGGCACTGCAGCAGCTGGGGCTGAAGAGCCCTGGGGGTGGAGTGAGTTTGGGGTAGGGAATGACTCCACAGGGAGTGACTCTGCTGGCGTTGCTGCATCCCTGGGGGGCCTCTGGGGGCTGAGCAGCCTGTGCTGCCGGGGGGCAGGAAGACTTGGGGGGCAGGCGAGGTGAGGGGGATGCTGCAGTGCTGCCTCCATGCTCCCGCCTCCTCCCGGCAGCCAGGGAGTGTCCCCAGCTCGGCTGGGCTGTGGTGGGGGCAGGCCTGTCCTTGCTGCCCTGTTCCCCATGTCCCTGGCTGGCTCTGGCCTCCTGGAGCCCTGTGGCCTCTGTCCTGCATGCACATGGGGCACCGTGTTTCATTTCTGTCCCAGCCTGGCTGCCCTGCAGCTCCTGCTTGGCCTTCAGCCGGGCTTTGGGGACAGAGCAGCCGCCCACAAGGTCCTCCCGTGGTGAGGAAGGGGCCCAGCACCATCCCCAGTGCCCCCCGCCCCGTGTCCAGCCCCCCAGGGGGCTCGGGGGCAGGCTGGGTGCTGCAGCAGTGCCCATGCGCTGTGGCACAGGAAGCTCAGAGGGAAGCAGAAGTGCCGTGGGCGGGGGGTTTGTGCTGAGCCCTCGTTTCCTCTGCGTGCGGCTCAGTGTGAGCCCTCGGAGCACACGGGGCTCAGGCCAGGCTGTGTCCCACAGTGAGTGCCCCGTCCCTGCCCTTCCTGCCCTGCTTCTCGTCCTCCCTGCGCCGCCCCCCAGCACGTCCAGACCCCAAATCCAGCAGCAGGTGAGCAGAGGGGGTGCTGAGCCCCTGTACCTTCATTTTGGAGCCTGCCTGGGTGAGCATCACCCAGCTGTCATGAACAGCTTGGTGCTGGGCAGCGAGTCGGTGGGGAGGGACCAGCGGGGAGGAGGAGGGGGAGGGACCCGTCCCTGGGTGCTTCCCCTGTCCGGGGTGATTCCTCCTATGCTCCCCTGGCTGCCAAAGCCTTCACCAGGGAGCTGGGGCAGGACCCAGTCCCAGGACCCTCACCCAGCCCCCCTAACCCCCCGTCGGGCTCCTTGTGGTGGCCCGGCAGGACTTGTGCTGGCTCCAGAGCCACAGCCCTGAGGCCTGGTGATGGTGAGGGGGCTGCTGCTGTCCCACCGGGGTCTCTGCAGGACAGGAGTCCCTGGGCTCAGCCCTCCACAAAGGGCCCTGTTCTCTGTGTCCCCTGAGGGGATGAGGAAGGTGACAGGGGACATCTTTCCAGTTCCTTGGACCCTGTCCTGGGCTGGGCTAAGGTGGCCCTGGCTCCTTGCCTGAGGCTGGGGTGTGGGTTCGAGAGGTCCCTGTGCCCTGGAGACGTTCAAGGTGAGGCTCCATGGGGCTCTGAGCAACCTCATCTAGCTGGGGATGTCCCTGCTCACCGCAGGGGGGTTGGGCTAGAGGAGCTTTGAAGTCCCCTCCAGCTCAGAGCATTCTATGATTCCGTGCCACTGCCGTGGCTCTCATCCTCCCCGCCCGGAGGGGGAGCCACTGCCACT